TGGTGGCCCTCACTCCAGACCAGCAACTCCTAGCAACCCCAGCCATAGCACAACCAGTGCAGAGGTCCTTGGATGGGGCCCCAGGCAGGCCACTCACCCCCACCTTGCCCAGCTGGACCTGCTAGTGCTGCTCCTTCTGCCACTTGGCCCATTGGTTCTGAAACCAGACCTGGAGAGGAGGAAATGCCTATCAGGGCCCAGGCTCAGCCTCCCCTCAGTGCAGCTGGAGGGAGAAGAGCACAGCCCAGCCCAGCTGCCACCAACAAGCCCCAGACCCCCCTCCCATCAGCCCCTCAGAGCCATGGGCAGACCCCAGGCCCTGAAACACCCTGTAGCCCAGTAGGTGCCTGCCAGGGCCAAGGCCAAGGCCAAGGGCAACAGGCTAGGCAATGCCCATGCTCTGTAGGTGGACAGAGGTGGATGGAGGGTGTGAGGGGACAGCCGCAGCTACCACGCATAGCCACAGCAAGGCCAGTGACAGGCCTCTGTATCAGCCTACCTGAGGAACCCTTGTCCTGGCACAGGCAAACCATGGCGCAGACCAATGGCTGGAAGCTGCAGCAAAATAAATTTAGACTGGATATCCGGAAAAGCATCTTCAGCGTTAGAACAGTTAGGCAACGGAATAGATGCCTAGGGAAGTTGTGGACTCTCCCATTAGTGGAGGTGTTGAAAAAGAGGTTGGACAGCCACTGGTTGGGGATGATCTAAGCATTTGGCTTGTGCTGCTGCTGCTAGTATTTGCTTCAGATTCGGACGATTTGGGGGACAGTGATTTGATTTGGCGATTCGAATCACTGTCCCAAATTGATTCGGCTTAATCTGATTAGGAGATTTGGCTGCTGCATCTGGCCGAATCTCCCCTGAATTGAATCAGCACCCGAAGCTTCGCACAGCCCTACTAAGCACAGCTATGCCTTTTTACCATGGGTATTTCCTATGCTTCTGGGCCTTGCTGGTTGCCCCACTACCCCCCACCTTTTCTGGTAGGTGAGTCAGGGTACTTTTAAGCCTTCCTAGTGGTATTGGGTGTTGGCTACAGCCAAGGCTGGGGGCTTTGACTGGGGTGTACTAATGCTCCTCCTGGGAGCAAAGTTGGAGGTTCCTAGCTGGAGGGTCTTGCCCCTCCACTTGGGGTCAGATTGATTGCCATATTTGGGTTCAGGAAAGACTTTTACCCCCAGTCAGACTGGTATGGACTGTGGGGGTTTTTGCCTTCCTCTGTAGCAGGGGGCATGGCCATCTGCCCAGGATCTCTTGAGCACATATTGGCAAAATTTCATAGAAGCAGGACATTGGCTGCCATGGCTCCCCTGCTTTACCTGTGGTAGGCCAGGGTGTGCCTGTGACAGGCCAGGCCAGGGTCTGTGTTGTGTCAGGGCTGACAGTAGTCTTATATGGAGTTTAGGTTATGATTTGTAAAGGATGGTTAGAATATCGATGACACTGCCTCAGGCAGGGGGTTGGACTAGATGAACTCGGGAAGTCACATCCAGCCCTGCTTCTGTACGATTCTATGACTCTAAGGTGATTTCTTCACATGACTTTATAATTTAAAGAATGAGCAGTACCTGAAATTCTGCAAGCTAGAATCCTTTCTAACTTACTTGCTTAAGTACTGCTTCAGACCTGCAAGACTATGTAGTTGTAAAAGCAAGCGTTTCATGAAAGAAGAAATCCTCACTGTACTAGACAAACATGATGAAAGTCAGTATATTAAAATGTTAGCAATGTTCCCACATCTTTTGGCTTGTACCAGTAAAGAGCAAAGTGGTGGCAACATCTGACTGTGAGACCCAAGTTTTGACATATTCTGAAATGCAGTGAGAAACCATATCTCCTCCTAAAAGAACATGGTCAAATTGTTGTGTCTCCTCTCTCTAACACTGACACATCCTTAGCATCTGCTAATGCCAGCTTTGTGGTTTTCTTGCTTTCACAAACCAACTAGATAATTATCAAGATTTTCAAAGCTGCTGAACTACTATTGCTAGTACTCAAAATCTATTTTTGCTTGAAAACAATTCAGTTTTATTAATCTGCAATACTTGCATTTTATGGGAGTTCTTAGGATCAAGAGCCAAAATTTCAGCAAGTGAGAATTTAAAAATAAACAATAGCAGTGTGGGCTGTGATAGCTTTTGATACCTATCCGTTTAAATCTTCATTTCATATAGTTCATCTTTCTCTTCATTATATGTTCTATTTATTGTGTTTTTATATTAAAATCACTGCATTTGCCAGCACTTAATTTTCTTTTGACACTTCCCATTTTTATATGTGCACTTCATATTCTCATTCATACACAAACTGCTGCTTTCTTTGTATAAACTTTGAGTTCTCAGACCTTTTTACAGGTCTGTGCCAGGGAAGGGGGAACCATTTATGCACTCTTTAATTTCCTGGGAGACAGCAACCCACCAGGTATGCCCGTCACATTATCTCCAGGGGGGAGGAAACAACAGAAAAGTTTTGGGGGAGCAACAGATATAATTTTTTTCCCCAAAAAAACCAAGGCAGAAGGGAATATAAGTTGCCCTGAAGCTCAGAATTTCCTCAAGAGAATGGAAGGTCAGTGGCATTAAAAATGTATCAGTGCTTTGAGCCTCCTAAGAGGCAGAAGCAGTACAACCCAGTGAAAATCCTGGAGGGACACAAGGTGTCAAACACTGCACAACAGCTTGAAATATGATGGCTTAAGTTTCCTGGTCATACAAGGCACATAGGAGCCTTTTAATATTAATGTAGTACAAAGTTCTGAGACCTGTGATGCCGATTCAAATCTCAAACTAATTCAAGGAGAAAGTGCAATGTTGACAAGTAGGTTTGGTTTCATCACGGAGATGTCTTCTGAAGCAGGTAGCTAGGAAATTGGTAGTTGGTTTTCTTTCTGGGACTGCCTGCTCTGTGCGTTCAAAGCCACAGGAGGAAAGAATAAGAGCCAGCAGCTGAAGGATCAGGAAAGAAGACCCTAGCCTAATCTTTAGCAGGAGAAAAGAGAAATGGTTAAATAATTCGAGAAATATTTGACTGAGGGGAAATATACTGACCCGAGAGCAGAAGGAAACGTATCCTTTGTTTGAAAGTGCTGACAGCTTGACTCATCTACTCTTCTTCTACTACCATGCCATAGCCTTCCAGCCACAAGTGTTATCCTTGCTAGGAACTACAGACTGCAAGGGCCTTGGTTCAGAGTCTGTCCTTTTTAATTGCAATGCCCCACCAGATATCAGGTTCTGCCTACAAACAAGCCCTACAGTGTCAGGGGAGATAGGGGCTAAAAGTGCAGAGTGGCTGCAGCAGCAGAGGGTTTTCTGTTAGGCAGCCAAATTGGGTGGAAGTAGCTCAGCTTCACTTACCTGTCAGAGCAGCAAAAGGTGCATCCTAATAATTTCCTTGGCAGCTCAGCCTATGCCATAGGTGTGAGCTGCAGCTGCTGGTGGTGTCTGTGCTCACTGCTGACAGCAAGCTGCCCTCTGCCTGCAAGTGAGACACAAGATTGTGCTTGCCTATCGCCTTCAAATCCCTAAGAGCAGAAAACTATTCCTGAGACTTGTTCTGTTCTGCAGTTTCTAGTAGTTATGTCCATCCCATGTGGCATCATTTGCTCTGTTCCCCAGGTGTGCCAAAAGAGGAACAACTCAATGACTCTGTTGTAGCTCACATGGAAATCTAAGGTATGACACTTAGTAAACTAGAAGCGAGTGTGAGACTGCTGTTCCAGAGGGGTATGTTGTGAGTCCCTGGTTAGAGGGGGTATTCTAGAGTCGAGGGCTCCTCCCTGCCCCTGGTGCTAAAGGTAACTGCTGCTTCTGCACATGAAGAACAAGTAGTGGCAGCTTTAACAGCAGGTTTGCAAAACCCAGCATTGGTAATGTGAATGAAGACCAGCCCAGAACCCTTCAGAAATTTCCCTGAGCTGCCCAATTTGAGAGGGTTTGAATACAAAATGGCTTTCCCTGAAAGTGTGGCCACACAAAAGCTCCTAGTTGTCCATCACAGGTGCTTTGAACTGTTCAACTGAAGGTGGCCCTGCTAGCCATCTCCTGCAAGAGCCACACCAGTTACTCATACCTACTTTGCTTTCAGGGTGTTGCTTCTGTCAGAGCTAATGCCCTAAGAAACGGGTGGGTTGGACTGTGCTCATTGGGATGGAGGCTTCTGGCTAACTTCTACTCAGCCAATTTCCTACTTCGACTTTACACAGGGTGCAGCGTCTGAGCATTCACCCGACAGCAGGATGGGCTGAGGCCCAGCTGGTTCCTCCTAAGCGACTGCAAAGACTTCTATTTCACACAATGTATTTTCTGTTCTGACTGCATGTTGGAAGCTGTATGAAAAACCTGTTCACTTATCTGTGTTGGCTGGTACTTTGTTTGATGAGGGTGAGGGACTGGTTGAAGCTGTATACACCTTGTAGATTGCTGAATGTAAAAATAAATAAATAAATAAATAAAAATGTAGCGAGTTAAATGCTTCTTGTCCACTAATTCCCAGTCTTTGTCCTGTTGAGAGGGAATGCTAAGCCTGTCCCAGGGAAGTTATCTGTGCACAGAAAACAAATTTATGAAATTTATTTATATAAATTATCTCTCAGCACTGACAGCATTCAATTTATTGCACTATAGCACATCTGCAGTACAGAGCTACAAGACATCTTAAGAGTTTTGTATTATTCAATGTAGCACTTTAGACCAGGCTCAAGAGGCACTCTAAAGGGAGGGGGAAAGGGTGCAGGAAAGCAGCAAGCAGCCACCACTGTCATTTAGATGTTTCTTGTCATTAGCTGGCCTGTTTGAGGCAGAAGCTAATGGTATGGACAGCTTCCATCTGCCTCGGTCTCCAGGTGATTAGGAGGCATCCCCCCTAAGCAGCCAGAGTCAGTACTGGTAGAAAACCAGCTTCTATGAGAGGAGAGAGGGGGATCTTGCAGTACAAATCAGATGTATCCCTCTAAAGCAGTCCAGCTTACCTACTACAATCCAGGCAATGTTCCTTCACTGTGGGCAGAAGTGCAGTTCACAGTTCCAGCCCGCAAGTCTCCTGGATCAGAGATGCTCAGACCATGGTGAAAGGCTGCTCACTGGGAGCTGCAGTATCAGAGCCACACTGACTCCTCAGGTTCCTGCCACTTTTACATAGCATCTGGATAGCCCTGCTTTAGGAGTCCCATGATAATGGAAACAAGGGACCTTAAGGCAACTTCAGCAACTCCCCTATATCCCCTGCTTGACAAGCATAGGGGCAGATTTAGAATTTTTGGTTTAGCAACTTTGGTGAGCTGCCATAGTCCAAGCTAGCAGCAAGTATTAATCAGGATGGATGCACTAAAACTGTCACTAAGTAGCATCTATTCCTGCTCTACTGAATGTCCAAAGCAAGCCACTTGCCTATGCCAATTAGCCTAGAACTGTCTTATGAGCAACTCACTCATGTCCCTGATGAGCCCAGTGCCACCTACAAGATCCAGACTGGCTCACAGGATCAAGAATACTTTTAAACAACCTAAACTGAACAGTCCATAGATGCTTTGTTAGTGACAGAGCAGCCCCAAAGGCTGCGAGTCCTTAAGTCACCACTCACACTGTATGAACAATACAAAGCTCTGGTTTCAGCCTCTGGGAAGGCTGAGTCACTTAGACAGAATGAAGAAATCTAGGAGAAAGGGCTTTGCTGGTGGACAGCCACAGAGATGGTCTGGTTAAAGAGCTCCAGCAGGAGACGCATCCTCGCCAAAAAATATGTTGTATATCCAGTAACTGGAGGAAGCATGTAGCTAACTGGAGTAAGCACAACATGATTAAAGGTAGCCACCTCCTCCAAAAGTTTAAAATCATGCATTGGGGAGCACAATGAGAGATTATTCACAGGCAAGTAGTGGATTTGGCAACTCCTTGCTCTGTGACCCCTTCATTCTGTCTTGCACTACACTGAAAAGACTAGTCAGTCACGTGGTAAAGCACATTCTGAGATATCTGCAAACAGCAATTTGGTGCAATAATTGGTTTTTAGGCCTTCATGAGAGCTGCAACCACAGCCTTGGCATTAAGGCTACGCAGATCACAGTAGGTCTGTCCAGTACCAACAAATACAATGGGCTTGCTTGTGATGTAAGTCATGGAGATCGCGGCTCCCACCTGCAGAAAAGAACACAGCCATTAGATGGGGTGAAGAGAGGAAATAGAAGTACTTGTAAAAGGAAGTACTCCAACCTTTGCCTTGGCTTCTCAAGGAGAGGATGACAAGCTCTAGAAACTCCATCACCTGCAAGGAAGAAGCTATGATTATCCTCTCACAACTGGACAAATATCTTTAGGAAGGTCAGGTCTTCACTGAGAGGCAGATTCCATTTAATTTTCAATGGAGAGAAAAGTGCCAGTGTGATGCTGCACAACCAGGTGAACGGAAGCAGGGTCTAGGCAAATCAGATTTGTAAGTGGGGGATGGCATGAGACTAATGAATCTACCACTTTGGCCTACAGCAGTTTAAAAAGTGTAACTCAGTAGGTCCATTTAGCGTTTTTTTGTTTTTGCTTTAAAAATTTTTTTTTAAGGATTTGAATATTATTCCTTATATAGACACAGCTATCTGAGGGAGCTGGACAGTTGATAGCAGTAGAACCACCGTAAGCACCTCCACAGTCCTTCACTGATGGGCACTATCAAGTTGTAAAGGTACAACAGTAACAAATCACTTTGTGCTGGCCAGGCTGTAAAGCAACCCCTTTGTCTTACTAGATCACAGCCAGTCTGTTGACACCAGTAGCTGATTTAGCAGGTAGCAGTGTCAAGATGTCAGAATGACAGTAAACTGGGCAGCAGCATGGCGGGGGCAAAATTTCTCCTCAATGTTTTGATGGCTGGATAGGACAACACTAAAGTGAACAGCATCTCTAGCCAGGGAGCAGCACTATGCCACAACAGCAGGCTTCATGCCTTTGAAACTCACCACCATTAGGTAACAGACAGTGCCAAAAGGCTCAGGCTGGACAGGGGCCAGTAACACTAGCAAAATAGGCAGCCGGTATTTACATTCTAAGCTGTTTCCAGCTAATGTGAAATATCTGAACCAGAAGTCCTTGGGGCAAATGCAAAACTAGAAAGTGCAATTGAACAGATTAGTAGGGGCTCCCACAAGGCAGCCACCTGCTTCAAAAGTGTTGCTACTCACAGCTACACATTTTGTACTTTATGAACTTCGACTGCTGAGTTCAGAGTTTCCCTTTTATGGTTTTCTAACAAAAGCCATGTCAACTCATGTTACAGCCACACAAGAGATTTCCTTTGGATATTTGGTCTGTAGTGTCCCCTTGTAGTCCTTTTGGGACCTGCTTATTACAGACTTAAGAGCTCTCTATGTAGCCATAAGAACAGCCTTTCAAACATTTAACCTCTAGCAAAGGTTCAGAACAACACAGATCCTATCTTCCTGCTGCACCAATGCAATTCTATCCAGAAAGCTTTTTACAGCTATTTCCCGCACTCCTCTCCCCCCTCCCTAAACAACAGTGCAAAGTTGATACTTCTCTTCAGAACAACCTAACCAAGTTGATTCCGCTTGAATGGTGAACTGGGGAAAAGCATCAAATGAACACACCCTATTACAGTCAGTTTCTCTCCAATTTAGCATTGCTTCAGCATGAGGAACTGTGCAGGACATTACAAACTCCAGCAGAGAGAAAAAGTTAAATAAGAACTCTCCATCCTGCATCTTACCTTGTCATCAATGGTATCAAATTTGGTGAGCACAATTCCATCGATGAGACGTGGTGTCTGGGCCATGGAGTAATCAGCCAAGGCTTTGTTAAACTTCACCTGGTGAAAAAGGAAGAGAGCCAGGGAATAAGTCAACCTTGGTCCTAAGACACCCATTACTGGCATCGAAGCACATCCAAAATGTGCCGAGGCTTTCACCAGGGGGGTAGCTGCTCCCCTGGAAGAACTGTAGTTTCTGAAGTTAAAAAAAAATCACAAACTAACCAGCTGATCAACAGCCTCATTTCCCACCAGGGCTTCCCCGACAAAGAGGACCAGGTCAGGGGTGTTGACTGCAATGAGTTTAGCCAGGGCAGTCATCAAGGGGGCGTTGTCTTGCATACGGCCAGCAGTGTCCACCAAGACCACTTCAAAACCCTGGTTACGTGCTGGAAGAGAAGGATCATCAGTCAGATCAATTCAGACCCAGATACAGCATCTCAAGCTACTACCACTCAGAGTGTCTAGGATTTCCCCAGTGTTTATCCTCTCACTACCATGGAGAGGACAACAGGCTCACCGTAAGAAATGGCCTCCATGGCAATGCCGGCAGCGTCCTTCCCATAGCCCTTCTCATAGAGCTGGACCATGATGCGCCCACTATGGCTTTCCGGGGGATGCAGAGCATTCAGGCGGCGAGTGTGAGTGCGCAGCTGCTCCACAGCTCCAGCGCGGAATGTATCACAGGCAGCAATGAGGACGCTGAAACCATTTTCAATCAGCCAGAACGAGATCTGAGGAGGGAGGAGGAAGTCCTGTTACCATCCTCTGTCTGACCCCAGTTGCTCTTCTCTGCTCAGCACCCAGCTCAACATGCCCCAGCAGGGCTCTCTGCTGTTTCCATCCTTTGGCCCCATTTTTCTACCTAAATCCTCATTTAAGCACCTCATCCCAAGGCTATGTCATGTCAAAAAATAGCATGGCACGCAGTCAAACCAAAGCCTCCTGGAAATGCACAGTAGGATGGCAATGACCCTCACCTGAAACTGGTCCTGGGTCTCAGTGTTCTGTTCACATGGGGTGTGCCCCACTGCAGTCCCACAGCCCCCCAATTCCTCCACAGAACCCTTGACACATCCCATCCAGACAGTGACCACAATTCAGGACTCATCCTAAGACCCAAATCATAATGGGACCCATGTTTCTGGGTAGCATCAAGCTCTGTCTGTAGTAACCAGCACCTGACATGCCCATAGGACCTTCCACCTAACAATGCCAGACTCTACAGCTGTCAGGCAACTGCTTTGACACAGGCACAGACAGGAGACACCCTAAATACACAGGGTGACCTGGAGAGAAGCTCTGTCCTAGATAGTGATATTGTTACTGCCATATAGGTAGCACTAGGGGACCATGTAGAAACAGCATTTTTCAGGAGCAACTAGGAGAGAAGCTTAACCCGTCCACCCCAGGAGGCAGGTTAGCATCTAAATGTGGGCAAACAGAGCCAAGGAAGAAGAGTGCCCTGGAAAAGGCTCTACAGGAAGTCTATGGCAGACCTTGGAGTTCTGTGCTGTAACCAGTAGAACACCTTTCCTCCCTAATGTATGGGACAGGGTGAAAGAGGATCCCGACAGCAGGATATACACTGCGCCCCACATGCAGCAGCTTTAGGGGAACATCCTCATTGCAGTGGGAGGTGTGATCTGCAGTACGTGCAAGTACACAGCACACACTTCCTGGGTCCAAGGCAGGCCTGTATTCAGACAGCTTGCACAGGCTTCAGCACTGTCAGTATTTGAGCTAGCCAGAGGACAGCTTGCACAGTGTATGCGTACCAGGCTGCAGTCTCACAGCCAATTGCAGTGTAGGCTGCAGCAACATTACTGTCAGGACCACGCACTTCAATAGGGAAGAGCTAGTGACTTAGATGAGCAGTTCTAGTGCCTGCAAGCTTTATACAAACATGAGCCCTGGTATTTAAAAGACAGGGCACTTTACAAAGTTGACTAGTATTTCAAAAGATCTGGCAGAGGTTCCTTTAAATAACACAGCCTGATTTGAGCAAGGGCTCTCTCTTCTCCCCCCACCAATGCTTACAAGGATCTACTCAACATGGGAGCAGAGTACAGAGCACAGTTCTCCCTTGCAGCAACAACCAACAATGACAGTCTATGCCAGTGGTTTCCAACTTTTTCATTTGTGGACCCTAAAACTTTTTAAATGGAAGTACAAACCCCTTTGAATTGTAAGTGTGGGTATTCACAGACTTTTGATTGATTGTAGTCATCTTAAATCTGTGCAGAGGGAAGGGGGGGCAGATTGAGACAGAGGGAGAAAAAATTATTTGGGGGCACACCTCCCCAGTAGGTCCCACCTGGCCAGGGCCCCACTCAACTTAACCCTGCTCCTGCCTCCATTGTACTGGCCCTCACCGTGGGGTCCTTGATCTAGACCCCGCCCCTTCCCTCCCCCATGGACTTACCTGCTGAGCTGCAGGGCACACGTGCACACATGTGGGCACTCAGCCCCACCATCCCAGCTTCGGATCGACTCCAAGAGGTTCCAAGATCTACCGGTGGATCGAGATCCACTGGTTGATGACTACTGCCTTAGACAGTCTGCAGACTATAGACTACAGGTTGAAAACCACTGCTTTATGACATGGGACAATGAACTGGCCAGCAGCACCACAAAGCTATCCTCTGGCTAGCTCAAATTCTGACAGTGCTGAAGACCATGCAAGCTGTCTTAATACGGGTCTCCCTTGGACTCAGGAAGTGTGTGCTGTGTGCTTACAGCTGTCACAGGGGAGGGTGTTTCCCACAGCAGGAAAGTGTCTCCAGGACTAGCGCAAAATATGAGCACTCATGCAGGCTGCACCCTACCTTGGCCAGGTTGGTTGACTTTCCCACCCCGTTGACCCCACAGAAAGTGACAACATAAGGCCGATGATGGCGCTGGGCGTCCATAACATCACGCAGGATGTCCACACGGCGCTGGGGTTGCAGGATCTGCACCAAGGCCTCCTGAAGGGCCTGTTTCACTGTTGAGGTCACCGCTGGGAAAGGAGGTAGAAGTGGAACCAGTCAGCAACTGATCCAGGCTGGGCAGCTGGAGCACTGCCTCTCCTTCCCACAGTGTCTTGAGGCATAATGTCAAGTACAACCTGCACTGCCTCAAGCTGAGTGTCGTAATCTGGCAGTTCCCTTTCCCATGCACTGATCATACCAATCATACATGCGCCGAGTCCCAAGACACTTGCCTACTAAGGACTAGGTCAGGGACAGGCAAAATATGGCCTGCAGGGGCAGCCTGGACCATGCCACATATCATAGAATCATAGGACCAGAAGGGACCTGCAAGATCATCAAGTCCTGTCCCCTGCCATGGGCAGGAAGTTACTGGGCTCAGACAAGCTCAACAAGGTGCTTGTCCAGCCTCATCTTGAACACCTCCAGGGATGGTGACTGCACCACCTCTGCTGGGAGTGTGTTCCAGATTCTGCTGACCCTTCCAGAGAAAAAGTGTTTTCTTACGTCCAGCCTGAATTTACTTTCTATTAGCTTATGCCCATTTGTCCTAGTCATCCCAAGGTGCCTTCCTGAAGAGCCACTCCCCCAGATCTTGATGCTCACACCCCTGACATACTTGGCTATCGAGTCACCTCTCAGCCTGAATGGGCCCAGTTCTCGGAGTCTTTCTTCATAGGGCCTATCCTCTATGCCTCTAATCATAAGGGTGGCCCTTCTTTATACCCTCTCCAGCTTATCCACATCCTGGATGGACAGCCTTGCTGCACCCAGGCACACAGAGAGGCAGGGGCAGCAGGGTGGCCAGGCTCAGCTTCGCAGCAGCCCCTGAAGTGATGACTCACTCTGTTCAGGTGCTGCTGTCAGTCTTCCCTACAACTACTACTGGGGGTGCCAGAGGGAGCAGACAGGTGGGCAGACAGGGTCTCCATGTAGACTGGCCTGGGACCCCTGCAGGCACAGTGCACTCGGCCAGGTGGATGGGATGGGGCCGCAGGTGGGTGGGGAGCAGCCTCCAGGAGCGGGACGGGTGGGCAGGGGCTGAGACCAGGATCGCAGGGTGGTGAGTGTGGGGCTGGAGCTGGGCCCCGGCCTGGATCCATAGCACAGCTACAATCTGCTCCCTGCACATCTCTGCCCATGGAACCTGCACCCAAAGGGATGTGCAGAAGCAGACTGCAACTCTGTCCCAGGCCCTGGGCCCCAGCCCCATGCTGTCATGGCCCTGAGAGCCAAGCTTGCTCACCCATCCCACTCCCGGACATCACTTACCAAAGCTTAGTAACCCTCCAGCCCAAATAATTGCCCACCCCTGGACTAGGCTAAGCAAGCAGGCCTGTGTGAAGCGGCTAGTATTCGCTTCGGATTTGGATTCTGCTGATTCGGGGGACGGTGATTCAATTATTCGAATCACTGTCCTGAATCGATTCAGCTGAATCTGATTTGGAGATTTGGGCAGCGGAATCTCTGAATCACTCAGGCCAGGGCCATCCCCCGCCTGCTCTCCCAGCCCAGCAATGGCTGCCCCGCCAGCCTCAACTCCCAGCACTTTTTTTTTTTTTTCAAAGTAAAAAAAAAAACAAAAAACCCCCCCCAGACTCACCAGGTGCTGCCGGGCCCCGGAGGGAGGGGCGGGGGAGCAATCCCCGCTGCTCCCCAATGTTCTTCCACGAGCCCCCCAAAGCCCCAAGGCTGCTGCAGGAGCTGGTGAGTCCTGGGGGCTTTTTCATTTCGTTCGCTGCTCCCCAAGGTCCTACCACGAGCCCCCCAAAGCCCCAAGGCTGCTGCAGGAGCTGGTGAGTCCTGGGGGCTTTTTCATTTCGTTTTTTTTTTCTTAAAGGGCCGGAGCTGGGATGGGTGGGGCAGCTATGGGGGGCTGGGAGAGGGGTAGGGGAGCTTGTGACAGAACCCCCCATGCATTGTGGGACAGTGGGGATTGCCCCCTGCCGGGCAGCATCCAGTGAGTCAGGGCTTTTTTTTTTTTTTAAAAGGGTTGGGAGCTGGGGCAGGCAAGGCAGCCATGGGGGAGGGTGGGGGGAGCAGGCAGGAGGGCCCCCATGGTCCCCTCCCCCCTTTTCCAGCCTCCCTCTCTTCCAGTCCCTACTTACCAACTCCAAGTCCGGCTCCAGCTCCCTGCTGCAGCCAGCAGGGACTACCCCAATCATCAAAGCTCTCTGAATTTTTTCCAAAGATTTGGAGAGCTTCGAATCGATTCAGACCCTTTTACTGGTCCCTTGATTCAATTCAGATTTGGAGTTTCGGCCTCCAAATCAGGCCAAATCTCCTCTGAATCGAATCAGCACCTGAAGCTTCGAAACCCCCTTTAAGCAAGGACAAAAACCTGCCTCAAACAGCAGGCAGGTTGGAATGAACCAGAGTACCATGCCCACTTGGAGAGCAGGGTGCCCAAGTAGAAAGTAGAAAAGCACCAGCAGCAGCAGTCTACAGAGACTTGCATGCTTTGTGTCAACTGTGAGGGAAGAGAAACTCAGAGGGGAAGGAGAGAACAAGATAGCACTACAGACACTTCAGAGAACAAAGCAGATATTCAGTTCACAGCAGCTCCCCAGACAGTGGTATCACAGCACTTACTGGTGAATGTCCCCATCACTTTCCCCTCCAGCTTCTTGGCAACCGATTCACACAGTTGAACGGCAATGTCTGTAGCCACGTTCTTTGCTTTGAGTAAAAAGTAAAGGGAGTGGGGTTAGTGCTGCAGGTTAAATTCCAGGGGCTTAGAGGCAGGGTTCCCACAGTAACACTGAAGAAAGCTTCAATAACCACCCAGCTCCATGGATAATTGGCCACAATGATATTCTAATCCTATTGCTTCCAGTACTGCCCAGCATTTTCTGCTATGAGGGCAAATGGCCTTGAGGAGAGAATGCAAACACTCTGGTCTCATCAACCCACAGCTCAGCAGCACAAATGCTTGACCTTGGGGTGGGAAACCTAGATCAGGCACTGCTCTGGGGGAGATCAGGGCAGAAAGTCATTGTCAGTCCCTCTGGGACCATGCAAATCCTGTTTGTGGCTGGTGAGGTCTCTCCACAACATTCAGCTCCCAAATGATTCCAGCCACCTGGGCCACTCCAACCTGTCCATTCATTCAGAGGCCCCTCAGGGCCTCACCAAAGTTACCGTGTGGAAACAAGGACTTTGTCCTACCCATGTCTCTCAGGGATCAGCATAAGCTCAGAAATCATGGATGCTACCCCTTCCTGGGCCATTCCCAAGGAGCACAAGTATGCAGGATATGGGTCTGGCCATTCAGAATGAAAGGGACTAAGTCACTGCCTTAGTAAAAATATTAAAATTTTCAAAAAGGTGACATCCACCATTCCTCATCCCATCACCCACACTGCCCCAGCAGCACTCAAGTGAGGACAAAGTCAATTAATGCAGAAACAGTAGGATCTATACTGAACTGTTCAGAGATAAGCACACACCCTTACAGCCCAGATATTCCATGAGCAACTGGTTTTAGAACTGGACATTGTACAAGATGGGATTATCCAGACAGATATGAGACTATTGTGGCTTTCCTTTATGAGTGTGACACCACAGATAAAGCTAGTCACTCTTAATACACTCAATCCCTATACAAATATTCCCAAGAGCAATTACTATCACTACTCCAAAGATAGGACGTCTATTTAGGAGTCACTAAATTGAACCACAGATTTAAAACCAGTAACATCTCCCAGAGAAGTTCAAAGGGACTACTGCTCATGATGTATGAGGTACATAATCCAAAACCACTTCTCCATTAGCCCCATCATGCTCCAGCACTAAGTATAAAGACACAGCAGAACACATGCTATGGAAATAGGATAAGCAATTTCTTCAGTACAGTTTACAGCCAGCATGGTAGGTAGGCCTCACCCGAACTCCAGACTCCATTACGGAGAAGGTGCTATAAGAGGTAACACTGGGAGAGAAGAACGATAGGGGAAGGGCCAGAAATAACTGGACCAGCAACTGTTCCATGATCACTGGCTGAAAGGGTTAATTCAGAGCACAGTGACTGAGGTAAGCTACATTCCAGCAGCTTCATTGCGTGGAAGGATCACCCTAGATTAATACAACTGAAGGACTAGAGAGAGTGGAATACAGGCCCAGAGATATAACAAGCCTGTCCCAGGTATCAATAGCACAGGGCAGGGTCCTGGTTCATAAGAATAATAGAGACATTCCAAACTTACCAATCAGATGATCCTTCATCTTCTCCAAAACAGAGTCCATATCCTCTCTGGTTAAGCTTTTAGAACCCACCAAGCCTTTCAGCATCCCGAACATGCCTCCCAAGCCACCCTTCTTAGCACTGGGGAAGGAGAGTTTTTGTTACATACTAGAGTCAAAGGGAATGGTGAAGAGTAGCAGCTAGATGCAGGGAAGTACTGGAAGAGCTCTTACAATTCCCCACCATTCACACACACCTTCCACTGCACCGTTGCCCAGGTGTGCCACACATAAGATTAACAGGCTGTGGTTTCAAAGTGAAGGTCAGGGTGCCCCAGGACTGACTGGCTAACAAAAAGGTTGTGTAAATCAGCAATCTGCAGGCAGCACTGGGACACAGCTGCACAGCCAATCCAAACTATTCTGTACATAACTTGTGTACAAATCAGATGCAAATTGCAAACCTTGTATGGATTTGCTTAGTTACTTTGTGCAGACAGGTATCAAAGACTTACCAGCAGGGAATCAAAGGACCTATTGTGAAGTGGTGGTTGGTTGGTTCAGTTAAAGTAAGACAGCAGCCTAAAGAAATGGAATGGCCACCCAGAAGGGCTCACTTATTTCTCATGAGTGCAGAGCATGGGATGAAATCTAAAGCAGGTCAAAACAGTATTAGGATAATGAAGTACACTGAGAGACATTACTGCCTCCCAGCACAAGGACTGAAGGCACAGGGAAGTAGTAATTAATTTTCAATTCGAGGTGTTCTGTGCAAGCTAAGACTAGCCACATTAGAAGAAAAGCTGTAGAAGAGAAAGCAAGGTGATTGTGTGGTTAGGGAGGGCTACAGGAGGCCTCACCCTGGTTTAGAAGGGTTCTGAGCAACCTTCTCCTCTTCAGGTTCCTCTTCGTCACTCTCATAGTCAAGATCATAGAGGCGGCCAGGCTCCCGATTCCGATCTCTGAGGGCCTAGAAAGGGGAATGATAGGGGGTGTGGAGAATCAGTAAACTGGCATGTGATCCCCACTTTAAGTCTGTCATTGCTCACTGCTGCGGCGGCCTGTCAAGGTATTAACAGCAGAATTAACTTTTGCAGCGGTCTTGCCAAACTCTGCTGTTTAAGATATCATGAACAAACCTGGTGTTAAATGAAAGCAAATGACTAGAAAAAATATTTTGCCCACAAGTGGCAGTTGCAGCATCCTGAAGGAGTTTTAGTAACATGATCTAGTCATCACAGCACCTGAGCTAAGTGAGGCTTTCCCTTTTCAGAGGTGGCTGAAACATCTTCGAAAAATCAGTGATAAAGATGGGAACAGAATCAGATCCCCAGCCCCCTGCTCTATCTATCATACTATCTCCAGTGATCAAGGTTAGCTGCCAAGCAGGCTTCTACCAGTCTCCTCCAAAACACTCTGCTACAGGCAGGGGATCTAATCCTAGTCTTCTCAAGTAAAGATTCCTCTAGATCTGCATCAGCATTGATGTGTGGAGTTTGAAAAGCACTAAGTGACAGATAGCCCTGCAACTTTCTACAACCCAGCGAAGCCTGAGCGAAACCTTAACTGTATGCCAGAGACCTTGGCTTGACCAGCCACTGCTCACAGCTTTATTCAACTTTGTATGTTCTCACCCTGCAGGGGCTTGGATTCTCAGGATGTCCACAGCAGATCCAAGACCACAATACTCCAAGGTCACACTTTCTCAGAGGAAGGGGAATGTAAGGACCTTACCATATCAGGGTCAAACTCCTCAGCGGGGCAAGTCTCTGTGTTTCCGTTGGTAGTGGAGTTACTGTAATCAAGTACTTTGGCATTGGAGTTCCCCAGATCCCAAACACGGGGTTTCTTCCCCTTCTCTTTCTGAGTCTCAGGCTTTGGGGACTTGCTGGAAAGACAGCAGAAACTATAAAATCAAGCTTTACAGTAACAGTGACAATCGCATTTTGACCTTGGGAAAGAGAGACCTCCCTGGCACCTGGAATTCATTTACATAGGATTTGCCAGATGGATCAAGTCACTGAGTTTATCAGCTCATCTGTGGTGGCCAATATGTGATAAGCCTTCCATAATACCCCTAGTTAGCAGTGAAAGAATTCTTTTCTTGTTCCACTGATCAGTGAGAGATAAGCTGACAGCACCCTTTTAAGCTAGGGTTACAGCAGGAAAATACTGGCAACAAAAGAAATGTGTTAAAGGCTTGTAATTTTGAAAGCCTAATGGTTAGAAAGATGGGAGATTAAAGATAAGCACTGAAAAAAAGAAGTGTATCACAGAAGTCACCCAAACAGCCCTAACTCTGATCCTGCACTGAGCTTGGCAGTGACCCGATTGCTTAAATAAAACCCCCCCAAAAACAAACCAATAAAAAAAGAAAAGAAAGAAAAAAGCCTTTTCGCTAGCACCTGGCATGGTCATCTCACTGTGGTACCCTTTGCTTCCACCACACAAATCCCATCACAGAGGGGCTTGTATCTGCTCTGAAGGTAACTCTGGGACCAATACTATTTCCTCGGAGAGACGTATGCCACCAGGGAGCAGGTGTAGAGAACTCCTTCAGTGTCACAGACTGAACAAGTGCTTCCTTCTCTCTTCTCCCTGAACACATAGCCCTAAATAAACCAAAAGCAATAGGAGCAATTTACTGTTAGTCACCACATCAACAGAAATGTGTGGGAGTCCAGGAAGACTCTTTGTTTTTCCAGTCTGACAAGCAGGGATCTGGATTTTCTCCTTTTCACACCACATCGGGGGTTTTAAACATTTGGAAGTTTTAAACAGAGAAAAACAGGACCCCTGCTGCTGAGCTGTCCAAGGGCCACTTCAGAGGATATCCTGGTTCTGCCGAAGTCAATGGTAAAATTACTATCAACTTCACTCTAGCCAAGATTTCGCCCTGTCTTTAACCTGCTGGGGGATTGTACCAAATCACTCAAGGAGCCTATAGGTGCCTTTCTCCATATTTCCAGCAAACTCAAGAAAACCCTAGTTCCACTTCCCGAAGAGCCAACGCTCAGCATAAGGCTTGTTCCCGAGAGCCCCAAAGTACCCCCAAAGGAAGAGTATAGTAGTTCAGAGCATAAGCACAAGTTACACCCTGGACAAAGTGGGATACTACTGCACAAGATAAGGCAAGCTGCAGCCTACTTGTCCAGTAACAGGTGGACAAAGACTGGGTCAAAGGCAGAAAGTAGTCACGATTTGCGTGTCTGCTCATGGGGATATATTCCCCAAGCAGAGCTCTGGCCCCTATAACCCTCCATCCCCTCCCCCTAAGCTACAGGCACACCCAGATATGCCACCCTCACTCACCTGGACTTCTCTCCTCCTTTCATATGTCTCTTGAAGAATTCCTCCCGGTTCTTTTGCAGGATTTCATCCTTGGTCAGTTCCTCCCTGTCCCCAGCTGATGTAGGAGGGTTCTGCTTTGCAACTGGGGCTGCTTTACTGGGGACTGTAGCAGCCTCAGTTCCAGAAGCTGGATAAAAAAGGGCCTTCATCAGAATAAATGACAATAAATTGGCTTGCTCACTACACTTTAGTCTTAAGATTCAGTGCAGAGAATACTTGATGTTCACTGCACATTCAAGTATGTAGGACCCTCATCAGAATGTTCACAAACAGGTGATCAAAGGGCAAGGGCAAGGGCAATTTGCTTCTGGGATACCCTGAAACATCAGCTAAGCCAGGCAAAATATTATGCTCTCTCCCAGAACTTGCACCGTTATTATAGGCCTACTCTCAAGGAGGCCATCTTCTGCAATCTTTAGATTCCTGCTCAACCAAGGAAAGAAGAGTGGCACATGAATAGCATGGCCGAGTTGGCACTTCCCAAGGACCCTTAACTTCTGGAGTTCCTCGATACAAGTATACACTTCACAGGCATCAATTCCCCCAGTTCCCAGATTTGTCTCAGTCACCTTGAACAAGTGGCGACTTAAACATTTCTGCCCACAGTCTGATAGTTTTCAAGTGTTCTCATGCTAGGGTAACCTCAAACAGATAGTTGACACTAGTCCCTAAAAGGAATCAAACCAAAGGTAAACTGCGGGCTGGAACTCTGTGCAGTTAATACTGAACTCAGGGGTGGAAGCCAGAGCAGTAAGCAGGCTCCTGATAGCAATCTTTTTTATCATCTGAACCAGGGGTAGGCAACCTCCAGCACATGTGCCAGTGTGGCATGCGAGGGCATTTTGCTTGGTGCACACACCTCAGGGAAGGGGCCAGGGCTGCGCTGCCACAACAAGGAGCGAGCCCCTCGCAGCTCCCATGCCATCTGTCCTGGCACACCAAAATCTTACAAGTCAAGGTTGCAGGTGTTTTGGCACTCTGCCCAAAAATGCTGCCAACCCTTGATCTAAAAAATTTATTTTATGGAAACAATCCAGTACTACAGTACCTAAGTCTGGCCTAATTTTCACATGGGTATTTGAAGGCAGACAGCCAAATCACCTAGTCCCAAGGGCAAAAGTCAATGTGTGCACAGCACCTCTAAGTCGGGCCACTTTTATCTAGGTCCTTAAACCTGGAAAATTTAGGCACCCAAATTGGAAAATTTGAGCCTAAGGGATGCTAACAATCAGATGTGCCTATAGACAAGCACGTGCTGATTTAGTGCCACTGAAGGCTAGGGGACACGCACCCTGCCTGGACTCTTGATTCCAGCATGCATTACATCTACTTACCATCCTTTTTCGAACCTTTGTTTTTCTTGTTCTTGGGTTTCTCCTTTGGTTTCTCCCCCCGGGTTTCTATCATGGACTTGACAGTCTTCTGAGACTTCAAAGACTGCTCAAATGTCTTCATGACAGGGGGAGCTCGCACTTTGCTGCTCTCCTCTGCCTCCCTGAGGAAAGAGGAATGGGGTTATTGACTTGGAAATGCAGCCCTGGCCTGGGACTCTCCACCACACCATGACAACAGTTAGGGCAGCAGCTACCTCCTATTCTGCATCCCATACCATGTTATATAGCCTCCCAAACCTGTTTGTCTCACTCCAGCCTGGACTCTTGAAAACCTCATCTCTCTTTCACTGTGCCTTGCCTCTGAATTACACAAATTAGTCTGTCACATCCAGCCAGACGCTGAAGCTCTGGAAAAAGCCAATAAACCTCTAATCTAGAGCACATGGGAATCCAAACAGGCTGTGCTCCATCACAGAACAAAAGCACAAAATAGCTGAAGACCAAGAATTACGTCAAGAGATGGGACCCAATGGCACTTTTTACCAATACAGATGGGGCTCATCAATAAAAGAAACTGCTTTCCCAAGAGCCTGCCCATGATTATGGAGTGAACTCACAGGAACTGAAGACCATCACAAACCTCCCTACTGTCCTCTAGAGGCAAAGTACACCATCTTCACGAACAAGGCATCCCTGTCTCAGAGCTGTGATCCTCGTTCTGCTGGACATAGCCATAGATCAGGTACAACAGCCTCAGTACTTGGGACTTTTCAAAGCAAGTAAAATGCCAGAAGATGCTCTACAAACATAGACCCCATGTCAAGGCCAAAGGAATGAGCAGGATGCTTTTTTGGCTTACCTTTTAAAACAATCAATCCAGAACCAGAAACAGATAACAAAGGAACTCAGCCAAATGCTTCACATTTACTTTGGTAAACGGGGTCTTAATAACCTCATCTGAGATGGAACAGACTTCCTGCTTGCTCTGGCATTAGCAATAAACCACTGACTGCCCCCTTTGTGTGACCCTTCATCTAGTGATCTCCATTTCCAAAGATTGCTGAGGTCAAGCAGCTTGGAAAGTATTTAAAGGCATCATCTCTAAAACAGCAGTGACATATATAATTAAGGATACTGGGGATGGAGGTTTGCTCTGAAGAGTGAAGACTGACACCCCCAAACCCTAAAAAAGAGAGAGACATCCTATATTATCTGGTTTGTCCCGTCATCCCCCTGCCCACAACACACACACCTATTCTGAGGCAGATTTACATATACCTGCTGAAGAAGTGTACCCCTGAAGTGTAGCTGATGTTTCATGTCCAGTCGGTGGTGGGGCATCTACCCTCAAGTCTCACCACCACTCTTTGGTCTGGGCCCCTACTGGTACATTCATGAACAGCCAGCAGGAGGAAAGAAACAACTCAGTTTCCAGTGCTCAGTGCTTTCTAAACTGAACAAAGGTAGGATCCCTGCCCCGGCAACTCCGTGGTGATCTCTGCATACCACCAGTCCAGAGAAAGGGGACATAGGAAATAGGCTGGTTGATGCAACAAAGCTTTTTTGAGGATCTTGGATGCTTTGAATGTCTGGGTCCAGATATTTCTCCCAAGAAAACAGCTATACTGGAAATCCTGTGACATAGCAGCGACCTCTGAGTTATACAGTCAAACAAGGGAACACTCACTGATGTGTTTCAGAGCATTTTCAACAGCCACATTAGAGACTTGATTAGGCAAAGATGTTTTGGACACTGTGACACTGTTTGGTATTGCTCAGTGAGAGCAACATAAATCAACTGCAATGCAGATTTACCTAGTCCACCCAGTGCCAATTAAACAATACTCTGTATTGGAAGGTAACCAGTAAGAATGAGAGCCCACACTAACATGAGCATATAGGCAGGACTACATATACCTCCGTTAGCCAAGTCTTAATATCAGGCCTTCAAGGAATAGTGTTAAACATACACAAACATAACTATAGTAAAAAAGGTCTACTTACTGGAGGAGGTGTAAGAAATCCTCTTTAAAATCAAAGGTGCCATTGAGGAGCCCCAGAGTGCCTTTCTGCTGGAATTCATTGCGATATTTGTCTCTGAACTCCTTATGGACATCGTCTATCAACTTATCTACATAGGTTAGAGTCAGGATCTTCTGAAAACCAACCTGCAAAGAGAAGAGAAAGTTTGTCTGCCTTCTCAATGATAGACAGATATAGAGATATATATTAGCTGAAAGGAATCTACACTTCAAGACAAGATTCTAATGATCATAGAATCATATAAAGTTAGGGTTGGAAGGGATCTCAGGAGGTCACCTAGTCCAACCCCCTGCCCAAAGCAGGATCAGCCTCAACTAAATCATTCTAGCCAGGACTTTGTTGAACTGGGCCTTAAAAGCCTCCAAGAATGGAGATTCCACCACCTCTCTGGGTAACCTGCTCCAATCCTTCACCATCCTCCTTTTTTTTCCTAGTATCCAACCAAAACTTCCCTTGCTGCAACTTGAGACTATTGCTCCTTGGTCTGTCATCTGCCATCACTTAAAACAGTTTATCTCCATACTCTTTTGAACCCTGCTTCAGGTACTTGAAGGCTGCTATCAAATCCCCTCTCAGTCTTCTCTTCTGCAGACTAAATAAACCCAGTTTCCTCAGCCTCTCCTCAGAAGTTGTGTCCCAACCCCCAAACCATTTTCATTGCCCTCCACTGGACTCTCTCCAACTTGTCCATATCCTTTCTGTAGTGGGGGGGCCAAAACTGGACACTGTACTCCAGATGCAGCCTCACCAGCGCTGAATAGAGGGGAATAATCACTTCCCTTGATCTGCTGGCAATACTCCTACTAATGCAGCTCAGTATGCTGTTAGCTTTCTTGGCAACAGAGGCACGCTGTTGGCTCATAGCCAGTTTGGGGTCCACTACAACCCCCGATTACACCTCATTAGCAAGAACAGCAAATTAATCTCTTAAATGGGAGAAATGATAGCTGCATATGCAAATGTTTTAAGTTAAACGGACACCAACATAATCATATTTCTACCTTAAATTCTGCACCTGTTTAAGATGACACTAACTGAAAGAGCACAAAACGTCTTAATTCCACCCCCACCCGGGCAGTGTCCACATGAGCATGGATGCTTGTTTCCCCAGGGACAAGAAGCAGCGGCATACATGTGCCGCTGCTACTTGTCCTCAGGGAACACCTGGGCCATGTGACCTCTGGCGTGCAGCAGGTTACCCCAGGTAGGGTAGGGGAGGCTGGGGCCAGTGACTATGCTGGCTCCAACAGCCTTACCTGGAGTCCTGGGGGCCTTGGGAAGCTGCAGCTGCAGCAATCCTGCTGCTCAGAGCCTTGCAGTGCAGAGAATACTTGAATGTGCAGTGTGTGCCACATACTGCACAGCTGCACTCGTCTGGACATGGCCACAGGGTACAACATGCTGGCAATTCAAATCTCTTAATGAAGACAGAAACCTCAAATCACTTAGTCACTGTAAATACTGGAAACCACTACACCCTCCAGCACCATGTGAACCACACCCAATCATGCCCCCAAGATGCAGTCACTGGCCACAGATTCAACTAGCAGCATTTTATCCCTAAAGCTGCTCAGAAGTTGTTTTGAGTTTACAGCTACAATACAGCATGTGTAGGGCTCCATGACTGATCTCCTTTAACTCTGAATCTCTCCACCCACTGAATTAGGCCCCAGGTTTAAAACATGCTGAGGGATGTTGGGGGAGACTACTTCATAATTCCTAGGTACACTCTCTTTGGAAGCACTGCCCACCACACGAGGCTAGAACTGTCCAAGGATCCCCCCACAGAGCTAGCATTTCCTCCAGATGAAATGTGTAAGAACTGCATCCAAAGTGACCTTCTAGGGGTACCTGACTGACATGGAATTGGCTTTTGATCCCCAAGACAAGAACAACTGGAACAGCTCAAAAGCAACAGATGCAACAATGAACACATGCCAAGGATGTAAATCTGCTGCTCTGCACCCCTTGGCTATCCTCACCACACTTACTTAAGCCAAACACTAAGAACCAAAATAATAAATCAAAAGAAATCTGCTCCCTAATGTATACAAGGCTGCTGACCTCTCACCCCAGGCCAAGTACAGCATGATGTCAGGGCGCAAAAACTTGGCACCTTCACCATTGCTCAAGCCTCTGAACAGAGTCCCTTCAGAACAAAAGTGAAGGGTTGGGGGAAATTGGGGACTGTGAGACACTCAGAGCATCTTAAAGATGAAACCAGGTCCAGAGAAGTACTGGGAGTTCAATGCCACTGACTTCATGACTTATATCAAGATTTCACCCAAGGTTTCTTTTCAACACTATAAATCCCAAACTTTGGAGAAAACTCTGTACTCTCAGCCAGACCTTACTTAACAGGACTTTCCAGTTACTCCTGGAAAACAGACAACCACCCACACAAAAAGATGCCATCTCACTGCCCTGTACTGCCATGGTTCCAAGGTCCACTCACCAGTAAACAATTAGAAAGCTTTCCTTTCCCAGAAAACAGGCCAAGATAGCCAACCTCTAAATGTTATTATACATTTCTAGCCATTACTGATGGTGGGCATAATTGTCCAAGACACAAGCAACATGCAACTGATGCAATTTTGCATTGCCAAATCTTCAGACAGAGACTGCTGTGCCTTAGCTGCTGCTTAGTTTTAACAAGCAGGGTTTGAAATTGTCAAGGCAGGAGGGAGACTGACCTGCATTCAGCATTTTAAGAGGTGCAAAGGAATAGGACACCAGCCTAGTTAGTATTTTTGAGAGGACAATAAAACATCCGCTACAGGGGAAACAGACTCCTATTCTCTCCCTTGCAAAAACAGGGAGTTCAGGAAAGTATAATAGGCAAAGCCTGTCCCCACCTCAAGAGGATCCTAGGGAAGAAAGGAAAACAAAACAAAACAAAACAAAAACCCTTCTCTGACTGACAAGAGCTGCTAGAAATGAGTTCTCTGGTTTATCACATTCTCAAGTCAAGATAAGATCCTGGAAAGGGGAGCTTCCATGCTGGTAAGAATGCAAGCTCTTGCCTTTCACAGTATGCTGCCCTCAAACCTCACTAGTGGCTCCTGCATTTTTTTTTATTCAATCTGTAGTTAGTAGTTACGAAGCAAGAGCAATGCTCAGAACAGAAAGTGGAATAGCATTTTTCAGCCATGTGAAGCAATCCAAGTTTGAGATGTGACAACAATGTCTCCAAAACCTTACCATAGCTAACTGGCTCTGGCATCTTTTGCAAGAGGGAATAATATTTCTAGGAGTGGTAACTTTCAGTGGACAAACTGCAGTTAGAATCAATTTTAGACAAGTTTTCAAGCATAAAGTATTCTTCAGGCAAATAAACAATGCTATCCATTTCCCAAAATCACCGGTAAAGAAGGATATTTATAGTTCACTTACCACAAACACAAGCTCAAATTGATTATCCAGTTTGTATTTAAGTGTAAGAGCTTCATGGTTAAAAGAGTTGTTGCCACCTCGCTCCTATGAAAAGAGAAAAAAAAAAAGCAATGAAACCACCAAAGAACAGCTGTATGCACTTCACCTTTAGTTTGGGCCTTCTGACTCTTACCACAGCCAGGTCTCTTTCAGTGAGAATCATTACTCAACATGTAATGTGGCAGGGGGTCAGGCTAGATGATCTGTTCAGGTCCCTCCTGACCCTAGCTACTATGCAACTATGTTTTTTGCAAGCACAGAATCATAGAAAGTTACGGTTGGAAGGGATCTCAGGAGGTCATCTAGTCCAACCTCCTGCTCAAAGCAGGACCATCCTCAACCAGATCATCCCAGCCAAAGTCTTAAAAGGACTTTGTTGAGCTCCGTTTTAAACCCTCCAGGGATAGAGCTTCCACTACCTCTCTGGGTAACCTGTTTCAAGGTTTACTACCCTCCTAGTGAGAAAATTCTTCCTAATATCTAACCTAAACTTCCCTTGATGCAACTTGAGCCCATTGCTCCTTGTTCTGTTCACCCTTGTTCCTTGTTCTCCGATGCTCTTTACCAACTAGGTTGACATCGTATACCTTGACTTCCAAAGTCTTTGACCTGGCATCTCACGATGGCCTCTCAAAAAAATTGAAGGATTGCAGGCTTAACTGCAAGACAGTTAGGTGGGTACAAAGCTGGCTGTAGGACCAGCGAGTCCTAATGAACGGGAACTGCGTTGTCCTGGAAAGAAGTGGCCAGTGGTGTCCTGCAGAGGTTGGTGCTTGGTCCAGTATTTTTCAACATCTTTATCAATGATTTAGATGTGGGAGATGAAGAGCTCACTGGCCAAGTTGGCAGACGACACCAAGTTATGGGGAAGCGTGGTCATGCTTCAAGATAGGCTACAGATACATGCGGACCTAGACAGGCTAGCAAGTTGGGCGAGTCAGAACCAGATGAAGTTCAACATTGAGAAGTGTAAAGTGCTCCATCTGGGGACAAACAACCCCCTACACACCTATAGGCTTGGCAGTGCCAAACTGACCAGCACCATGAACGAAAGGGACCTAGGAGTAATAATAGACTGCAGTATGAATATGAGCTGCCAGTGTGACGCTGTAACCAGCAGGGCAAATAATACCTTTGCATGCATCAATTGATGCATCTCTAGCAAAACCAAGGAAGTGATTCTTCTGCTCTACTTGACACTAGTGAGACCACAGCTGGAGCACTGCATCCAGTTCTGGGCACCACGCTTTAACAAGGACGTGGTAAAACATGACAGAGTCCAGAGAAAGGCCACCTGTATGATTACAGACTTCCATGGCAAGCCATACAAAGAAAGACTGAGGGACCTGGGACTCTTCAGCCTGAAAAAGAGAAGGCTGAGAGGGGACTTGGTAGCAGCTTACCGCTACATCAGGGGCGTACCTCAAGAGCTTGGTAAACAGCTGTTCACCAGGGCACCCTTGGGGAAAACTAGGAGTAATGGTCACAAACTCCTGGAACCATTTCAGGCTCAACATTAGGCAAAGCATCTTCACAGTTAAAGTGTCCAGACTGTGGAATAAGCTCCCTCCAGAGGTGGTGCAATCACCTACCCTGGAAATCTTCAAGAGGAGACTGGACGGTCACCTTGCTGGGGTCACCTGACCCCCAGTGATCTTCCCTGCTTGGTGCAGGGTGATCTTCCGAGGTCCCTTCCAGCCCTACAATGTATGGATCTATGAACTAGTTCCTGGAGTCTCACAGGCCTCGTCTGTTCCTCATTTCCTAAATGACTGCTGACCTAGTACACACATCCTTGTTTTGCCTTCAGATGCCAACACATGGTGTGAAACCATCTTTACTGATGCCCCCTTGTATCCACCTTCTTGGATAGATGGATCTGATGGAGGATATAAAAAGAACGATCCATCAGACAGTCAGCTCTGTCACATGTGCTTAACTCAAGTATTTGGCGAGACCGCACTTTAGAATAAAGCAGTCCCTAAAACATTCAAAATTGTAAGACGTGTACGCGCACACTGAGCCTTTTCACTCATCTAGGGTCAAGACAGAAGCAGCTTTCCCCTTTATCACTGCGCAGCCACGGACAAGCGCCTGCACCCGAGCTGCAACAAGGAGAAACAGAGCCCAGCGCGACCGCGGCCGCTCTCCTCGCACCTGCTGGCAGGAGCCTCTCTGGACGCAGCTGCTGGGAGCGCGACTCGTGCCCAAAGGGCAGCGGTTCTCGACACCGTGAGACCCGAGACCCCTCAGACGATGCCACCTCGCTTTCTGACTGCAGGAAAACACTAGAGAAGCTCTTCTGCCGCAGAGACCGCAGAGGCAGCCCGGCGGGGCCCTGATTTTGAGGCTGTAGATTCCCAGCAGCCCGCGAAGCCCCGGAGGCGCTCGGTGCCCGGCCCTTCGTGCCCAAGAACCGCACGAGCCCGGGCCGGGCCGGGCCAGGCCGTTCCCCCGCGGGGCTGCCGGACTGATTGTGACGTGGCGTATCCCCCCCCGAAACGTAGCTGCGCCCCCGGGCCCCGTCACACCGCGACGTCACACAGCCACGCGACACGTCACGAGCGGAGAGCAGTTGTGGCGGAGAGAACGGGCCGCGGGCGCGGGGCTCACCTGCAGTAGCACGGAGCGAATGAGCGCGTTGACGGGCGCGGTGCAGGCGGCGGCGGCGGGGCCGCGCACGCCCTGGAAGCACCAGAGCACCAGGCCGCCCTTGCTGAAGATAGTGAAGAAGTCGAGCATGGCGGCGGCGCCCGGCCGGGGAACCAGCCCGCCCGCCCGCGCCGGCACACGTCCCAACCGCTCCCAGCCTACTTCCGCCGGAAACACCGCAACGCCGGG